ACCCTTCCCCAAGGCTCAGTGGTTTTCTTCTACAGTATAGAATGGACATGTTTGGGCCCCTGAGGCAGGATCTGAAGTGTCAGAGGATCTGAAAAAGAAAAAAGTGAAAGGGGAGACATGTTAGCATCTCAGAGAGGAAAATCTATGTCACAAAATGGAAAGACAGAAAAAGACGTCTGTTTGTTGTCAACTATGCATAATACAGAAGCGATAAAACTTGAAAGAAGGAACAGAACTAAAAATTTCCAATAGTGGTCAATGATACCAGTAATTCTGTGGATGGTGTGACAGAGTTGACTGACATCTAACAAGCTATCCTGTAATCGAGAAGTGAGGAAAAATATTATTATAAAATGCGTACGTACCTGCTGGACCGAATAAGATGGAACTCACTTGTTATTTATTTGAAACAATGGGGTTCAAAGAATCATTTACAATTTACATTAGGTCTAATAGGCCAAGCAATTAAAAATTTGGGACAGAGAAACATCAACCAGGATGGCTATCATGGAGATCTCTTCATCGTCAGGTTTGGCAGACAGACATTTTATTGAAATTATATCACCCACAAAAAAAAAAAAAAAAAAAAAGGAAAGGAAAGGAAAGCAAAAGAAATTCAGAGAAAGGCAGTATCTAAAAAGAATTTAGAAAGAGATACTGTCCAGATTGTAACGTTTTAATTGTGTTATCTGTTTTAAGAAATACCATACATATAAAAATTATGGAACAAATTTGATAAAGCTGTCATTTGTATTTCCTGTTATATAAAGTAACAAAAATGTTCAATGTTTTTCATCCTTTATTGAAAAAATTGAGTTGGCAAGTGGTTAATATTGGTCCTGCTAGGAGGAATAAGAATGTTCAATTACAAAACTCTGAGCAGGATCTCTGTAACTTAGGTAAGTTTTTGTCATCTTTGAAGCACAGTCAGCTAGTGTTGATATCTATCATCTCTCTTACCACATCAGACTGATTAGTGTGAAAACCACATTTTCTTTTAGGAATAGAGATAGCCTCTCTTTTTTAGTACTTAGGAGGTTATGTATAAGTTTGATTTTTTAAAAGATTTTTATTTGATGTGATTTATTTAAAGGTAAAAATTTTATTTATGAAATGTAAGTTTTTAGCCTAAGAATATTGAAGACCCTGTACTTTTGAAGAACATCTTGCCTGAGTAATTAAAAGATTTTCACTGAACCACAATGGTGATATTATAGGTAGCTGGAGACCGTCCACCGGGACCAGTACACAGGACTTGAACCTCTTTAAGCCTAAATGTATTATTAATATTTTTAGAGATCTTGTTGATTATACTTTTTTGTTGCATATTTGAGGCCAAGTTTAATGGAGCCCTGTACTAGGATTAAGCTTTTATTGTCTATTTGGGTCAGTTGAGACTCTCTAGGAGTCCTATTTGGAGCCAGCTACAGAGCCTCATAATTTGTCTGTGAGTGCCACCTGCCAGGAAGACTCAGGCTCCTTCTGAAAGTGTTGTGGCAAAACGGGGTGTATGCACCTCTCCTCCTCTGGAACACAGGTCCCCTTTACTTCAGTAAAGTTTCAGCTTCAATAATGAATTAAAGACTCAGATTTTTTGGAAAAAGATGAAAAGAAAGAAGATGCACAGGTACTCCGGGGGAGTTTGGGGAGGTGTAAGTGAATATCCCTGGATTTTTGTCCTCAGCTCATCTCCATTGAGTCCTGGGACTTTTCCCTTCCCCATCTGGGCACCTGGAAGTCGTTGCCATTTGGCAGGTTGCCTAGCAGTCTTTGATCCTAACCTTGGGCAACTCTGTCTACCTTCTTTCCAACCATTTGATTTCTTCCTGTCCCTTTGTGATAGGTAAGGGCCGGGCTTTATAGAAGATAATTTAGAGTTAATGATTAAGTAAAGGGGACCTGTGTGTTTTATGTATTCAGTAAGAATCCTCATGTTCTTTATAGTTTATCTTAAGTGACAGGGTGGGGGGCCTCTTTCCTCTGGCCTTTTATATTCCTGGCTACTCTATTTTGCCCTATTTTGTCAACTGTTCCTGCTAAATTTTTATGTTAATTGTGTTACCTGGTGCCTTTCTGGGTCTGATTTCTCTGTTTTTCTCTTTACCTTTGTCCAGTGGTTGTAGTCTAACTGGAGAGGTAAATCTGTCTTCAGTAAGATTTCTTATTAATTTATTTAATAAAGCTAATGACATTTCAGTTTTTTCCCTTTGGCCTACACCTCCCTGTCCCCACAGAAGCACCAGAGATGCTTTTCCTTGGTGATTTTTTTAGCACAGTGTACATTGGCTGACAACTGTTCTCTGTGGTCTAACAATTTCCCTGTTCGTAAGATATTTGGAGAGGATTTCTCATATCTTGGGATGTTGTTGACCTTGGTGGGCCAGGACCCAAATATTTGCTGTCTTTTTAGTCCAGTTATGTACCTTAGTACCTTGGTTCACAAACAAAAGACAGAGAAAGGTCGCCTGCTCAACACACAATAAAGACATCTTTCCCAGTGTCAACACATCACAATACACCAGACAGTTTCTGACATGAGGGTTATGATGTCAGCTCTGTGAAAGTATCAAGACATGTCTGACTCTATCCCCCTAGTGGAGAGAGAAAATCCAACCCAGTAGCTCAGCTCTCACTGGAGGCTAAAGAGAAGGCAGGGATACCAGGAGATCAATGAGAGAGTTTTACTTCTCACCTCACAGAGGAGTTCAGGTGGTGATGATCCATAAGTGGAGATTTCTCTTCCGATTACCCATTCGGGCTGCTGGGATCTAGCTTCCTCCAGAAGGCTTTGAGTGACCACTGGGGAGTTGCCCCAGCCACGGTCCCTCCATTGCTCTCTCAGCTTTTACTAGCCCCACAGACCTGTCAACTGCGTATCAGGCTAAAATTTCCACTGGCTTCAGTGAGGGACTCACCGGAAGGTACCGGAGAACCCGTCCTCTCCTTTAAGGGTGGCAGCTGCCCCAGGAGTGTTTCGCCAGCTGACAGAGTAACCCCTATTTCTTAGAGTGCTATAAGGGAGAGGGGTGCATGCATGTGTAGCCATCCTGCCACAGTTACCTCTCTGCAGAGAAGACAGTGCCCCACGTGGGGTACACCTCGCTCTCAGGTCCTAATTTTGGAGCAACAAAGATTGAAGCTCACAAAATATTGAACAGCAAGAGATAAGGAATGGCTAAATGCAAGTTTGTTGGTAAGAATAAAAATCTCTCTGCTAGTCCCACAGGAATGTTCCACAAGGTTGACACTGTAAAAGTTTACACTCAGGTATCTTTATACAGTTTCTGGTATCAATGTACACGATAGAAAGCAGGGATGCTCCTGGTTGCAGGTAGGCCTTTGACGTCTGGAGTGTAAATTGCTTTATTTTTATTTTAATTTCTCCCAGGCCTCGCCCATTTGTTTAAGGGTCCTTTTTTTGCTCCTTGCTTTTTATTAGACCTTCATTATTTGTTTGTGCCCTCCAGTATGTTAACTCATTTAGGTCCTGGCTTTTGGTTTATATTCAGTTAACTATTCAGGACTTGTGTCTGTATAGTGGGGCAAGCGGTATGTTATTAGCCTCCCACCAGCTTTATCCTATAGCATGCAGGATACAGTAATGCCAGTTGCTTTTCAGGGACTTGAAGGCAACTTTTATCAAAACCATTCACTTGACTTGGGTCTGTACCAGTGTCCAATGGGTGACTTTTGATAGTGGGAAGTCAAAAGCTGAACCTCAGATCAGGTTAACATTGCAATTTTCTGAACATGAGAACCTTCTCTCTGCAAAACCATAAAGTTTGATTAAGCACACATAGACCCCTGATGACTCACCTCCAAACACTTTTCCCCTCACCTCAAACTACCTTTCTTCTCTCTCCCATAAATATTCCCAAGCCTCCGACTCAGGAAGGCAGATTTGAGAACTGTGTGTCCCCTCTTACACTCCAAACCCTTCAAAATAAACTTTGTTTTGCAAAATGCATCGCAGCCCTTCGTATAAGGTGCAGTGGACAAAACTGCACCTTAGGAGCACCACCTTACTGTATTTTCTGAAGCATGCAGCCTGTTCACTTGTCAATTCCTGTTTTGGTACAAGAACTAGAAAGATAATCAATCTGAAAATCATAGTTCGCACTGTTTTTACAGTTTGCCTTTTTAAATACCAGGACCCTCACATGCTCAAAGTTCACTGAAAAACTGAGTCATCTCTCAGTGAACCTGATCCCAACCAAGCCCTTCTAACGCAGGCTCACCCCAGGTACAGAAGGAAGTAGCTAGTGGTGTGCAGAGACCAGTGACTGACTGTACCCTGGGATAAGGGAGAAAACGCAAAACCACTGAGTCATCCTAAGTGAAGAAGGTAACCCCAAAAGCTTACAGATCATATGATTTCATCTAGGTAACATTTCAGGCAAACCAAAGAGTAGAAATGGTGAACAGATGCCTGGGGAAGATACGGTTGGTCGAGGAGCAGGACATGAGTTTATCAAAGAGCAGCAAGAGCTGATGCTCTGTGCATTATCTGTGGTGCATATGCAATTTGCAGTGTGATACAGTGACATAGAACTAAATACGCACACACACAAATGAGGACCCAAGACAGGACAAGTGGGTTGTTTTCAGAATTTAAATGTGACACTGTACTGAAGTTTGCAAATGGAAAGGAACTATGAAGTATGAGAAATGAGTGTCCACGGGTTGATATAAATTGAGGTTAAATGGCAGGTTTAACTCCCTAGCTAGCAACAGGCTGCATGAGCAGAGGGAACTGAAAAACTATGGTTCTTTCCTTGTAAATTAATGCGCTGGTAAGTGGATCACCACACATTAAACACACACCAATAAAGACAAATGGCAGTCTTCAGAAACACCAAAGCCTGTGGCTCAGGGCTGTGAGTCCTCCCTCCAAAAACTTTCTTTGCAGTTCCTGGGAAGTCCTCGAAACCACGCCCTGCCGTGGCCGCGGGTGTGTCTGCGCCTGCGCGCTGCGCGGGGCGGGGACAGCGCGCCTCCATAGTAAAGACCATTGGCTGCGTGCGGTTTCCGGCTGCTGCTCGCCCCGCAGTTCGCTCCACCGTCCGCGAGTTTTCTTTGCTGCGCACCCAGCGATGTCGGCCTGCACCCGCGTGGCGCTGGTGACCGGAGGCAACAAGGGCATCGGCTTCGCCATCACCCGCGAGCTCTGCCGGCGGTTCCCAGGAGACGTGGTGCTCACGGCGCGGGACGAAGCGCGGGGCCGGGCGGCGGTGCAGCAGCTGCAGGCCGAGGGGCTGAGCCCGCGCTTCCACCAGCTGGACATCGACGACCTACAGAGCATCCGCGCCCTGCGCGACTTCCTGCGCAAGGAGTATGGGGGACTCGACGTGCTGGTCAACAACGCGGGCATCGCCTTCAAGAGTAAGGAGTTGGCGCTGTCTCTGTGGTGCGCGCGGGGGAGGCGCCCCTCTGGCTTGTGGAGTGCAGAACAGGATCCCTAGAAGGAGCAAGAGAGGCAGGAGGCTGCAACAGGAGCAGAGCCCTCAGCGGCTGTGAAGCTGAGGGTGGCGGGGAGGGAGTGCTAGCTGATGGGCCTTGTGTTTGCGTGGCTCAGGCTCTTGAGGGTCTTTCCTAAGTTTTCCTTTTACACTCTATCTGTAACTAGAGGTTGGGGCAGTTGGGTAGATGCTTAACTCGTTTTATTGTTTGTTTTTGTTGTTTTGTTTTGTCTTTTGAGGCAGTCTCGATATGCATGCAGTTCAGGCTGCCCTTGAGCTCACTTTGTAGCCCAGACTGGTTTCAAACTCGCAAAGATCCTCCTGCCTCAGCCTCCTGAGTGCTGAAATTACAGGCCTGTGCCAACACATCTGGCTTAACTTCTTTGTAAAATAAAGAAACACCAAGATTCTGCTATGGATCAGATGTCTTCACACACCCTCCCCCAGCCCTGCCATATGAAAAATAATAGGGTATTATCAAGTTATAAAATTGACATTGGGACAAGATGGTCACTAGATAACAGATTTTTTTTTCTTGGATGTCCTTTTCTAGTTCTGTAAAATTCCACCTTGTGGCTACTGCTTACTGATTCTTGTTCACCTTCTCTCTTAAAAGTGGCAGATCCCACACCTTTTCATATTCAAGCAGAAGTAACAATGAAAACAAACTTCTTTGGTACCCGGGATGTCAGCACGGAGCTGCTTCCTCTAATAAGACCCCAAGGTGAGTCTGATGGTGACCTGCCCTCTGCTGCTTGGGCTCCACCTGCAGGTGTAGCTGGCCTCCTTTGTCCCGGGTTCCTCTTTGGTGCTGGTGCACTCTGCCCCCCTGCTCTTTGCACCGTGCCTCTATCTGATCCTTCAGGTGTTGCTTCAAAGGTCTCCACACATCAGCTCCTTATGTTTTCCGGGCCTCTCACATTTTAGAGGCCCTTGAGGTTCCTAATCTCCTGTCTGCTGTGTGATCTTGTTGAGCTTCCTCGACAACCATCAGCATGAAATCTGTCTTCTGCCTAGTACACTGCTACACCTGTTTTTGTCTTTCTTCCTCTGCATCTCTTCCTGATGGCCCTCAATCTAAAACAGACATTTTCCCCAACATGCTGGTCTTTTTGCCTCAATCCTCTGGGCCACTCACCAGCATCCTGGCAGTCATGCCCTGTGCCCTCATAGCAGCTAACCAGGTGCTAAGATTGTCCCTGGCTAGTGTGTCCCAGCCCCAGACTGTATTACTGCAGACCCTCCTAAGAGGCTTCTCTTCTTGAGTCGCTTCCTTTCCCAGAATGCTGGATTCTACCTGATTACTCTCCACCAAAAATCAAGCCCTTAGCATGGTTCGTGCAGATCACAATTGGGCCCTGCCTGTCTCTAGGCCAACTGTAACTTGCCATGAATATGCTCCATTTACTGCATATAAAACTGTCATGTTTCTTACCTCGTGAACTGCTCTTAACACGCTACATATTTGGCAAACAGTTGAACTACCACTTGTTAAAAATATGCCAACAGTAACAAGCAGTGCTTTTTAGAAAAATTGAATGTATTTTAAATTTCGGCAATTACTTGTACAGCTTACTCTGAGCTCTTCTCTTGCTTCTGGTCCTATCCTCACAGAACGTGCTTCTGCTTCTAAGTTTCAGTTCATTAAGGATCTCAGACAGCAGCTCTTTCCAGTGTCAGCTGATGCTCTTACCTGCACCAACCCTGAAGGCAGGGATGGAGTTCTTCACACACCCCATACCATCTATGTGTATGCTTTGTACATTTCAAACTGCTAATGATTCCCAGATGGAAACTTGTGCTCTAAAATCACAGCAGAACTCCCACTATTCTTGTGCACACATCTCTACCCAAGACCTTGTGATGTATTCCAGGCAGAGTCGTGAACGTGTCTAGCATGGTGAGTCTCTCGGCCCTTAAACGCTGCAGCCCAGAGCTGCAGCAGAAGTTTCGAAGTGAGACCATCACCGAGGAGGAGCTGGTGGGGCTCATGAACAAGTTCGTGGAAGACACAAAGAATAAAGTGCATGAGAAGGAAGGCTGGCCCAACACTGCCTATGGGGTGTCCAAGATCGGCGTCACGGTTCTGTCCCGAATCCACGCCCGGAAACTGAGTGAGGAAAGGAGAGGGGACAAGGTCCTGCTGAATGCCTGCTGTCCAGGGTGGGTGAGAACTGACATGGCGGGGCCCAAGGCCACCAAAAGCCCGGAAGAAGGAGCTGAGACCCCTGTGTACTTGGCCCTTCTGCCCACTGATGCCGATGGGCCACACGGACAGTTCGTTCAGGAAAAGAGTTGAGCAGTGGTGAGCTCACCTCACACCTCCACACATGGTTGCTGTTTCATCCCATAGCTGATAGGACAGAAAAGACATTTATGTTGTCCTATTTAACAGCAACAACAAACCATCTCACTCAGATATTCAGCACTAACCTAGTGGAATAGGCTATGCACCAAGAGGATGCTAATTCTTCTTTTTTTTTTTTTTTTAAATTTTATTTAAGGAGAAAAAGAAAAAAAGCAGAGAAAGGGTACAAGTTATACAGATTTACAGAAAAAAATAAACAGTAGGAAATCACGATGCTAATTCTTTAATGGCTTCTGACACCCTCTTTGACTTACCAAAAGAAAAGCTAAAAATATGAATAAAATAATTTCTGAATAAATGGCTCTTTATGAATGTCCGTTTCTGCAGATTGTTATTATGCCGAACCAGCTCCGTCTCAGAGGTTTTAGCATGAAATGAGGTCAAGAGGAGAGACTGTAGATCCGGGGTCAATAAACTGGGGTGGCTGCAGACAGCGCATTTTCAGCGCTGCAGGCCACACACCCTGTTCCTGGGACTCAGGGCTGCGTGGTGTGACAGGAAAGCAAACACACATGGCACCCAGGAGCAGAGTTGGCTGTGGGCTGTGGACTCGAGTTCATCAGCCTCTCCATGGTAAACAACACCGTGGAGGCAAAGACAGCTGCCTGGTTTCTTTGCAAGCCTCAGTCATTGTGGAAAACAAAGGTAGCATGTGACATGTGAGTAGTGCTTATGGGGAACACTTGGCCATTTATGGCTTCCAGATGAAAGAACAATTGTTTGGCCACCTCGGTGTGAATGAAGTTTTACAAGGTCTGCAGTGTTAACATGATTCAGCTAAATGTAGGAACACGGTGTTCAGAATTACAAAGCATTGTAAATGCATGGGTGACCGTTTTTTCCCCCAGTTTTTTGTTGGTTGAAAGTTTGTTTTGTTTTTGGCAATGCTAGGGATTAAACCCAGGGCCTTCACACTGAGCTGTATCCCCAGCCCTGTTTGTTTTTCATTTTTATTTTTAGATAGGGTCTCACTAAGTTTTCCGGGCTGATCTTGAACTTACTATCCTCCTGCCTCAGAGAGTTCCAGAGAACTGGGATTTCAGGCATGAGTCCAGCTTGGAGACTTTGAAGACATGGGAAGGCAGTGAGGTTATAGTTCACTGAGGTTATGGTAAGAATGCTTGCTCAACATGTGTGACATCCTGGGTTTGATCTAAGACCTGAGCAAAAAGAAAAAAAAAAAGGTGGGAAGGGCCTGGCTTCTTAAGCCATGAAATGCCTCGTCCGCACATTTTGTTCTTAAGGTCCTGCATTCCCTTTCCCTCCTTTGCAGCTTTTTACATCTGTGCTTTGAAAAGTGTCCCAGAAGGATTTAAGTCACACATATGTAGTAAGTTCAATTGCAGAGGAATTCATTTAGAAACCCTAAGCAATAGCAAGCTGAACTGTCCCCAGGTCAACTAAAGAATCCACTTCTCCATCTAGATTCTGCAGTAAGATAGTACAGTGAGAGCGAGTGAAGCCCAAAATACACCTAAGAAAGGAACCTGAAGAAAAGATAAAGAGATGGGAAGGAGAACCAAGGATAGCAGAAGACAGGAGGGAGGAGAGGAGGAAGTAGAAAGGATCAGATGCCACACTACCAACTCCCTGTGATGAATGCATTTGTTACATATCACAAACGCATACTGTGCTGATAACAGTCGGTGCCATGGGAAAATACAATGCCCCCAGATGAGACAGGAGGTAATGAAACAAGAGTTAGCATTCTATCAGGCAGTAAGGACAGAGGCCCCAAAATGAAGTCAGGAATCCTAAACTCAAGTCTGCTGAGTCACCACCCTCAGGGATCCTACAGAAACATTTGCCAGCTGCCCCTGACTGGCTGAGACCTTCCCAGAGCATGATCGGGCAGGCCGCTGGCTCATGGCTGCACCACCCTGCATGGCACTGAACAGATCGGTGGGCAAGGGATCATATTGCTTGCACAGTAGCCTCAGTTCCCTCGTACACCACTCAGAAACCCCTCATCAGTGCCCCTCATACCCTGCTCAGGACCCTCACCTGGCTGGTAGGAGTTCTACCTCCTTGCCTTTTTATCTTTTAATTGAGTTTTCTGGCACTCTACCTCTGTGATTTCATTCTTGATCACCATGAGACACAACCCCAGTGCTCCAGTAACAGACACATCAAGCAACAAAATATACACAAATTCCCAGTATCAGGAATGAGAGAGATGGCACTGTTACATATGCTAAAATTTCACAACCAGTTTTATGGCGTATTACAGTTAATATGACAATGGATTGAACAATTTAGGTGATTCATGCAAAATTTTTTGAAAGATAGTGTGCTGCTCCAAGAAAAACTGGAAAACTTCAATAGCTTTGTATTTTTATAGGAAGTTTCATATAATCTGGAAGAGAAGAGACAGGTCAGGGCATAAGTACGCACAGCACCTCACCTATTGACAGTAGAGCAGATAGCATTGGGAGGTCAGAAACACAGGAAGCTGGGCCAGCTCCCATAGGAAAATCCTGACCCAGGATGACTAGGCAACTCTCCCATCTCAAGCTCTAATCACAGCTGCTCAGATACAACTCACTGGAGCTATACAGAAGAAAGTGGGTGGAGAAGTTTAATTGCCCACAGGCACCTTGACACACCTCTGGGAGTTCCCTTCCAGGGGAGATTTGTTTTATGGATACACCGCAATTACTCCTTTGGGGAAGAAGTAGATAGTCACCTGCCAGCCTAGGGGTATTGCTTAGTGATAGAGAATTTGCCTAGCAGGTTCAAGGCTCTGGGTTCAATTCCTAGCACTAATGTTGGGGGCAGCACTTGAGGCTAGTAAGTCCATTCCTCTATATCCCTCTCCTCCTCCTCCTCAAATATACAATTAATTTTGGCTTAAAATATGCAACTTTAGCATGAATGACTCCAAACCACTTTGCTTTTTGGGGGGCCAATGCCAATTAATTGTTTCAGCCCATAGTGATGACCTCCTGTAAATTTTATGTAATTGTTCCCCCTACTTTTTTAATGCTCTTTATTTGGGACACTATCATCCCTCCCAGGATTTCCAGACATTCTGGACTTCCAGTCTCAATAAGCTTTCCATATTATCCTTAGAGTTGTGGGGGGTTTGGAGTTTCTATCATTGCAGCTACAGAGAAACAGTTTAGCATGGTCTACATGGTCCTTTGTGAACATGTAATTCTTTTGGAGCTAATATAAAGTACCAGGGAGACTACAATGACTAACAGGGATAGTACAGTACCAAGAGTTCAAGGTATGCCCCTTTGCCAGGGTCCCCACAAAACAAACCAACTAAAGTATTCACAGAATGAGGCAGAATGAAGAATCTACTCCTTTTAACTGAGTCACCCAATTCATCAATTCTTCTTGATAAAGGGAAACGAAATTCCTGACCTATTACATGTCTGGTATGAGCTCATGTTCTCTGAAATCAAAGAATGAATTGTAAGAACAGATTAAGAGCAGAAATATTTATTGAGAGAAAGTAAGCTTCTGTCTGAGAGAGACAGAAGGGATCTTGAGTGGGTTGCCAGGGACTCTGTCTTTTCTAAAGACTTTTCTAGAGTAAAATCATGAGGTGAGGTGGGTCTGAAGTGGGGGAAAACTGGGAACTCAGAGGTAGACCAGCATGACGTGGGACAGAGCTATGGTCAACCAGTAAATTTACTTGTTCAGGTAAAATTGACCAAATCAGGGACAACTGGGGAAGCAAGTCACATAGGGGGCTGGGATGGTGACTCCTGGCTTCTCAAGGTGATCCATACCTAATCCCTAAGGCTTATACTTAAGGGTGTGGTTGCATTTGTTTTGATTTCTATTTTGAGATCTGGCGCACAGCAAGAGGTGTGGGTCCCCCTCAAAGTCACCAGACATCTGGTTCTCTGTGCCAGCTTCTTTGAGGACCGAGCCCTGTCTGACTGCCTATAATATTTCTAACTAGCTCAGCTGCCTGTAACATTCTCACCAGAGTCTACAGTACCTGTCCATTATTCCTTATGTGACAAGAAGTATCAGCAACTGCCCAGAGCTTTTCTCCTGGGTTCTGCTGGAAGGAGTATGAGATAGGGCAGTGCAAGTTTGAACAAGTTTAAAGTGGGAGTGTTGGAGCGAGTCTGGTCAGGGCTGAGATTCAGGGGTGTTCCACGTGGCTCCGCACTGGCTCTGGGGTGACTGATGGCAGGAATCATTTTTACTTTGTGTGTAGAGTTTGATAAAGCAAGCAGTGAGGCATGGGCTCTGGACTGGTTGGTTGGTTAAAATAGCAAAGATACACTCAGGGCAGTCCCTAAGGTATGTGTACATATAATCCACCACATGTGTATGTTTGGTGTTAGGGACTTAACCCAGGGCCTCGTGCCCTGTAAAAGATTATGCTGAGCCACACCCATGCCCAAAAGTGGGGTATTAATCAGTTTCAAATTTCATATATTTTATCATGCTTTGGCATTTGAGGGGAGGTCTTGTTGGACAGAGAGAAAGCCTCCTTTCATAATTTGTGATCCCTGATTGATATGTTTTGAAATTCTTAGGTTTTTTTTTTCTTCTTTTCTCCTTGAAATAAAATGGATTTGAAAAAAAGAAAGAAAGAAAAGAAAACAGTTTGTGAATTCCAGGACATAGAAAACAACTTGCCGTGAGTGTGTTTCTTTTTATGGCTGAATATCTTCTAATATGATTATGTCACATTGCGCTTATCTATCATTTGGTGGACACTGAGTTATTTCTCCTTTTTGGCTGCTATAAATAATGCTACTTGAGCAAACATGTATGCACATGTTGGGTGTGAACATGTTTATACGTTTCTTAGACATGTACTCTATGTCTAACTATCTGAGGGGCTGCTAGGTTGTTTCCCATTCTAATTCCCCACCAGCAATGAATGTATGCAGGATCTAATTTCTCCACATTGTCACCTGCTCTTCTTTTCGCCTGTCATTTTAACTGTAGACATTCTAAGGTGTATGGAGTAAAATCTCATTGTTATTCTGTTACCAGGTGAACAGTCCTCTCAAATCCTTAGAAAGGCAACCCCTTCTGGTAACTGTCATTCTGTTAAAGACTAGACAGTTCACATTCCCCTCCTTAACCTGAAAAAGACACTCAACTTTTGATAAGATTAAGAAGCTGATTTGTGACTTTTATTCCCCCGCTTCTCCTATTTTCTGGATAAGAAGAAACCCACTTTCCCTGCTTGATGAAGTCTTGATGTTGGTCCCACAATTACAAGGGAGGAAAGGGTTCTGTTTGGGGCTGGAAACTGGAGCATGTTAATTATCATTCCCGTAGTGATTAGTGTTGGGAGCCTTTCATGAGGGTACTGATCATCTAGATAT